TCGACTGACAAATTTTTACTACTACTTCTGTTAAACAGACAACTATCATTGATTGGTGCTTATATCTTGCCTCAGTTTTGACCGCTTCTGTCACCATATCATTCCGTGACTGTTAGCTTTAAGATAATAAATAGTATTCAAATGTATTTACAGAAATGATTGATAAGGCCAAATAATTGATAGTAACAGTGATATCTTTTTTTTGGAGAGGGAGGATTATTAGCCAAAGAAATACCACTGCAAAAGTTCAGTATCTGTTTAAGAGCTAAAATGATCAAAGATAATAAGCCGATACCGAAGCGTCTAGCTGAATATGTTTAGTATTTTCTTTGAGTATTTTCCTCAACCTCACCTTTTCACCGGTCCAGTAACGCTGCAAAAATTTTAAAAAATATTTTACCAGTAAATATGCATTTATTCATTACTGAACTGTCTTTCAATATTTGATGTTTTATTGCAAAAAACGTTCAACATAATATTTCCCCGTCAAGCCACTAATAAAAATTTTTTAAAAAATTTAAATTAGAAGACAACTTTTAGACTGATTAAACAAAAATACAACTATTTTGTGCAAGCTTTCCCACCTTTTTACGAACAACTATTATATTGCTACAAAAATGATAGAAAAAATGAAAAAAAATTAAAATGAAAGATAGATTTATTCCCCAGTCTAAACTCGCACTTACTTCTATCAAGAATATCCAACACTAACGCTTTTTTTTGGCATCACCATAACACATTGGCTTTAAATTACTTCGTACATAAATGCGCAACTCGTACCAGCAGTATTTATCAGAAGAAAAGACTAATTATTATACTGTACCGACCAATTTTTCTATTTTTTTCAGAGACGGCGAAACTGAGGAGGAGATCATGAAAGAAGATTTTAAGGGTGGTCTTACTTGGTCTGAGATGAGTTAAATAAGCAAACATACAATAGATACATGTAAAGACACACACCAAATAAGTAAGATACAACAGACAGTAAATCTAAGCCACGTAATCAGTAAGCTTCATGAAATTAATCGCTTTAAGTTTATAAGCCTTCTTTTTATTTCAGTCTTCATACGTCTAGAAAAGATGAAACAAGCGAGGAGGAATCATAGTAAGTAAATTTTTTCTCATTTTCTTCTAAACCTAATCTGTGTTCCCTCCCCTCCCCCTCTCCTCCACCTCGATCCCCCCAACCTCTTTTTTTTTT